TGCTGTTAGGCATGGGCAGTTTGGGGGGGGGCTACTGTTCTCCGAGCTGCATTGTTTGCCAGTCTGCTTCCGGGTGCAATTCAAGGTGTTGATGATCACCTTTAAAGCCCTTCATGGCCTATGGCCAGGTTACCTGAGGGACTGCCTCATTCCACTGGGATTCGCCTGTCCCACTCATGCTGGCAGAGGAGGCACGCTGCGGGTCCCATCAGCCTGATTATTCCAGCTGGTGAGGTCCAGGAGGAGGGCCTTCTCTGCTGTTACTGAACATCTTGTCCCCCAGCCCCAATGTGAGGTTGGCCACTACCCTCCTATCCTTTCATAAGACCATCAACACTTGGCTCTGCCAGTTGGCCTAGGGCCCCCCATGGGAAAACAGCACAGGGGAGCTGGTTGATCGAGTAACAACAGATCCCACCTCCTCCCGCTCTGCATATATAGTGGGGCACGTGATTGTGCATTCCATTACAGTGTTTTTCAGAACACCATCCAAGACCTCAAACGAATTGAGAACATCAGCAGATCTCTGTGGTTGTGTTTGATCACATCGTCCATCCAAGGTCTTAGTACGATCCGTGCCTTCAACAAGACAGAGGACTACATAAATCGGTAAGTTTCCTGGGCCCAAACCATGCTGGGGTTTTTTTTCTTTCACTACCCATCTCTCCACTCTAAGTACAGCTGTTTTACTACTTTCCACCTGGGCACCTACCTTGTACCTGCCGTGAAATTGATGACGCTACTCTGCTATTGTGCTGCCTAAGTGGGAGATATCCAAGGGTTTTCCATTTACAGAAAATGCTGAGCTGCAGGGAAGCACTCTGATTGCCCTATGGATTCTCAGGATTGTCCCTAAGTGCAGCCGTATATGACCCCCCCCAAAGAGCACTTTATATTCTTTTGCGACCATTAAACTATTCTTAAGATCTGGTTTCTAAAGCAACAGAATTTGACGATTTCTGGCAGAATCTGAGGCTCACTGAAAAAGCCGCTAACCAGTAACTCAGTGAGAGGGTAGGGTGTCTTTTCTGAACCAGTAGAACAGAGGGATTTGGGTCATTTTCCCACTATGCAACTTACGGATTCTTCTAGTATTATCCAACCATCATTGGGTCAAAATAACAGTAGCGAGGACCTCATAGCCCTTCAGTGTTAGATCAATGGGGACAATGGCTGTAGCCCTCTTTCCCTAAGAGAGCTGTAAGGGTACACGGGAATGATCTTGGAGACAGGAGGAAGACTCTGAAAATGGCCAGATAAGCAGCACTTGAGTCCACAGAAGGGATTGGGGCAGAGAAAAGATCTCACAAGACTTCACCCTCCTTAGTTTTCAAGAGAGTGAAATTAAAGAAGTAACAGACACGTTACTGTAAACTTGCAGTAAAGATAGCTAGTACTTCTGGTAGGTACTTCTTGTCTAGACTGCCTCAAAGGTCTGACAAGCGTTTACAAGTACTTTGTACAATAGGTTCGACCCACCAACCTAATGAGGTCGCTTAAATACTGCAGACATAAAACATATTAAACTTAGGGTCCTTGGTGCTCTCTGAACTTGGCGTTCGGTTGTCGTAAACAACCACGCTCAGAGAGCACCACAGTTCAACCCTGTGCTACAAAAATTATCTTCTGTCGGTATATTAAACTTCAGGACTGCTGACCTTCATTGGGATGTTGTGACTTTGAATGAGAACATGTGTTAATTGAGCAACTAACTTAACCATGTTTTGCAAGTCCTGCCGTGGAGACTAGAGACCTGATGTGGGGAAGGTTGTGGGTCCCACCACCGCGGGGTCCTTGAGACAACAGTGGCCTTCGGAAACCCGTCCCCTCTGAGAAATTAAAAAAAAAGCTCACATTAAAAGAAGGAAGAAGTAGAGGAGAAGAACTCCCACCCAGCCAAGGATGCAGCCCCTCACAGCTTCATTTTTTGTTTTTTAACTGACTACCGTCTTATTCAACCAACACTAAAAGTGGGTATGGTGAAAGACCTTCCCATCCAAGCTGTAGTCTCCCCTGTGGGTTGCATGAATATTCATGGCTTGACGTGAACATTCTGCTGCAGTTGTTGTGTTTTCAAAGCGAGATCTTGGTGGGAGCTCCCTTCCCATCAAGGTGGTCCCAATTGGAAGGAGGAATTTCTTATTTCTAGTACTGTTTTTCAATTATTTGGCCTCTCTATCAGAATGAAAGGAAAAGAGGCGATAGCTAGAAGGGTGATAAAACCCTGACATAGCATTCACTGCGTGCATGTGCCTCAGTAAAGGTTCATTCCTCCTCCTCCTCTTCCTCCATGTCCTCTTTCCCTTTCTCCTCCTCGTCCTCCTCCATCTTCCTCTTTCCTCTTCCTCCATCTCCTCCTCTTCCTCCTCCATCTCCTCTCCTCCTCCATCTCCTCCTCTCCTCCACTTCCTCCATCTCCTCTTTCTTTTCCTCCTCCTCCTCCTTTTTCATCTCCTCCTCTTCCTCCATCTCCTCCTCTTCCACCTCCATCTCCTCCTCTCCTCCTCTCCCTCCATCTCCTCTTTCTCTTCCTCCTCCTCCTCCTCTTTCATCTCCTCCTCTTCCTCCATCTCCTCCTCTTCCACCTCCTCCTTCTCCTCTCCTTCTGTCTTCTTCTCCTCCTCTTCCTCCTGACTGCCAATTTGTGCAGTTCAGCACCAGTCTGCTGGAGATAACACTGTCCCCTCTTAAGGTTCCTCACTTGCCCCCTATGAGTGTCGGCGGGAATATTCTTGGTGGAACCAGCAAGAACATCAAGGAACCTACCAAGAACACTCCCACCATTGCTGACTGGGCCGGCCACTTATATGTAAACAGAGAGCAAATCCCACTCCCTTCTAGCACTGATGACGTTACCTAGTTTGGGAGTGAAACATGTGCAAGAAAACCACCGAGCTCAGAGAGCACCAAGGAGAGTTCCACCCTGAGCCACAAATATTCTCTTCTGTCAATGCAAGACAACTATTGAACATCTCATTCTTACTTTCGTTTCAGTTTTAGGATCTTGAATGACGAAAACTCAAACCATTTCATTATGTTTAACTATGCACTACGATGGTTTGCACTGAGGACAGATATTCTCATGAGCTTCATGACGTTGATCGTAGCCCTGTGTGTGGTCCTCACCCATTCTTCTATCAGTACTGCAGAAAAAGGCTTGGCGCTATCTTATTCTCTCCAGGTAAAAAAAACCTGTGTTTTTCCATCCTAAGCTCATCTCGTTTTTCAAATGCATATTGCGGTCCCAAAGTGGATTGTTAAAAACATTCACAGAGCAAAGTCTTGTGCAGTTTTCTCCATATGGTGAGTCTCAGGATACCAATTAAAAATATCACACACAGAGACACAAAACAAAGTAAACTCCTTCAAGTCTGACATATGCCCACGTCTGTGGTAGAACACTTTCTCCTCTATCACCTTACTACACTCTTGTGAGTCTTGAAAACATTTATCTCTTATTTGGGGGAACCTGCTGTGTAATTTGATATTGTAGCTTCATCCTGTCCTGGCCCAAGAGTAGGGCCAATCCTGTATTGAGCAACATATGAATGACACTCAAAAATATAAGGGATAAGCAAAAGATCTGCCGCAGGTTACTTGTAAGATATTTGTAAGAAAAAAAGATGTTGAGACTCTAGAAAGAATGCAGAGAAGAGCAACAAAGATGATTCGGGGACTGGAGGCTAAAGCATATAAAGAACGTTTGCTGGAATTCGATATGTCTAGTTTAATGAAAAGAAGGACTAGAGGTGACATGATAGCAGTGTCCCAATATTTGAGGGTCTACCACAAAAAAAGGGGGGTCAACCTATTATTCTCCAAAGTACCAGAAGGCAGGACAAGAAACAATGGATGGAAACTAATCAAGGGGAGAGCCAACCTAGAACAAAGGAGAAATTTCCTGACAATTAAAATAATTAATCAGTGGAACGACTTGCCTCCAGAAGCTGTGGGTGCTCCAACACTGGAGATAATTTTAAGAAGAGATTGGACAATCAGGGTCAAGAGCTGATCTACCCTTCCAGCACATTTCCAAAAAAGGAAATTCCAAATCACATTCATGTGAATTTCAGAAGATGAGAAGTTCCATGTTGGATCAGCTCTGCATTTATCTAGTAGTCTGGTTCCATAATAGTTGTGAGGATGTCTTAAACAGGACAGGTGTACAGCAGTATCCTGGTTATTGTTCACCCACAGTAGGAGTCAAGAGATTGCCAACTTGTGAAATGGGACTTTTGAATGGTAACTACCGAGAGGCTTATCCGTCATGAATTTCTCTAATCTCCTTTTAAATTCATTCCTGGTTTATTTACTGAGGCCACATATGTATGCTGCCTATTCATGCAAGTCTACAGTACTGTGGTTTGCTTGTACCAGATGCCTACGTAACTGTGCTGGAACTGATTGGATTTGCCCTTTCAAAAGGTCTCTCCCTTCAGTCAAGTTTCCTCTGCTCTCTCTTTCCCCATTGTTTTCTCTAGCTGAGTGGGCTTCTTCAAGTATGTGTGAGATCGTGTATCGAAGTACAAGCCAGATTTACTTCTGTGGAGCAGATAACAGAATACATTTTGGTAAGAAAGGCTCCCCATCAGAGAAATGAATGTCAAGATTTCCGTTCTGCTTTTCGTGCACCCCAAACCCCAAAATAAGATTTGCAGAAATCCAGAGAACATGAAGGCATAAATCAATAGAAGTTGGTTGAAATGCTGGTGTAGACCCAGGATCGAGTTGGCATTTACTAGTTTATAAATCTAATTTTCCATTTCTTCTTACAACTGAGAGTGACTCAAATGTCAAGTATCCACTGCTATAATTACACCAAACATCGGTTTTAAATCTTAGGTGAAAGAGAACTGGGTTATTTGGGCGGGGTGTGTGTGTTCTTGTTCATAAATTTATCCCCCCCACAATATTATTTTTAAAATGTCTCTTGGATCAATGTCATAAATTACAACAAACAGTATGAGCCTCAAATTATGAAAATGTCCAATTTCTGGTAATTCCAATCTCTAACTAAAGTTACTATGATACCCTAATGGGCAGTCGCAATAATCTTGAGAAACAGAAGGAAAAAGGCCCAAATAAGAAACCGGTCAAACAAAAGAAATTTGAGTGGAAAGCAGAAATGTCAATTAAGGAAGCATCTCACCTTTGACGCTCCCTAGTTCTCTTGAAGATAAAGGAAAAGAGGGAAGACATGCATTCAGATTTGCAATATTCCGTTACAGAAACTTTATAATAAAAGTAGCGTTAGCATCCATAACTTTGGTTCTGATGGATACAGATTCCAGATGTTCTTTGTTTCCTTCAGAAATGCACTCCAGAGGGATCAGAGACTCCTCCAGTGGTCACCCCTCCCCCAGACTGGCCCGATAAGGGGGAAATCACTTTTAAGAACTATCAGATGAAATACCGAGAAAATAGTCCCATTGTCCTCCATGACATCAACATCCACATTCAAGCTAAAGAAAAAATTGGGATCATTGGCAGGACCGGTTCAGGTACAATCTATTCTATCGATTGCTTTGTACGTGGAACAGATAATGAAATGCCCGTTTCTCTATGATTTACTCAGATATGGGAGTAAATGGGCAGGCATTGTAAAGACCGAGAAAGTGAATAAATAACTTTTTAAACCTGAACTGGCGGAGGCCATACATTGTACTGAACAATTTAAAAAAGCAAAAACAATTTTGTCCTAGATATAGTTCTTACTTTTACCAAGGAAAGGTATGGCATCCTTTGGTTTTGTAATAATGGTATGTGAGAATGACCTTGGGAGACAGGAGGAAGAGCTCAGAGATTAAGTAACAGGTGAGACGGGTGAGAATTTGAGTTAATCTGAATCTATCAGCTTCAGTTTAAATTCATTTAAAATGATGGTATTTGCACTTCTACAAGCCTTTAAACATATTTATCCAGTTATTCAGGTATATTATCTCTGTCTCTCTCTCTCTCTCCCTGCTCAAGGTCATCTTGCATGATAGAGATCTGCAAATTTTTCCTATCGTGGAACAATCCAACCTTGAAATAATAGACTTTTTTAAAACTCAAAACAGATCCATTCTGAGGTTAGACACAGCCTGTTTCAAGAACGGAAGGTTCTTTAATCAAACATTTTGCCACATCCAGTTTATTCTTTCTAATCCTAGTAACACAAACAGGATGTCCCAGAAGGTTTAGGGCCATTTTTAAGCTTTGAAAAGCTCGACACTGCACTAAAATGTGAAGCTTTTAAAGCTTAAACCTGCACTGGGACACTCTTAAGTTTTGCGGTGTAGAATCGAAAGAGCAATCTAAATTCTCTTGCACTAGATTTCCAGAAAAATATTTCTTGGCCCTCGGACGTTGGCATCTTTGGCCTGGCAGATTTTTAAAATGATGGGGGAAAGCTCGTTTAAAAGGGACCCAGCTTGGCATTGTTCAAATCTTGCAGGAAAGTCTTCTTTAGGGGCTGCTCTGTTTCGACTCGTGGAACCAACATCTGGCACGATCGTCATTGACGGCATTGACTCCAGCAGCATTAGTCTGGAATCCTTACGTTCAAAGCTGTCCATCATCCCGCAAGATCCTGTTCTGTTTGTAGGTACAATAAGGTAGCTGTTGCCATTATCCATTAACCTTTCCTGCCATTTTTTCTGGGGGGGTGGAGGGAGGGGCAGTGAAGTGGCTCAGTAATTAAGACACGAGGTTTGTCAGCTGGAAAACTGGCAGTCCAGGTTCAAGACCCAGCACCATGCGAGGGGGTGAGTTCCCGTCCTAGCTCCAGCTCCTGCATGCAAATGCGAGTAGATAAATAGGTACCACTTTGGTGGGAAGGAAAAGTGCCCCGTGACCACATGACCCAGGGGAAAGTCTTCGGACAGTGCTGGCTCAATGGCCTTGAAATGGAGGTGATCAGTGCCCCCCCCCCCTAGAGTTGGCAATGACTAGCGGAGTAAAATCTTCAGGATTTCCATTACTTTTAGATTTCCTGCCAAAGCAAAAGCAGACCATTAAAGATAGTTTCCAGGCCCTCTTTTAAAAAGGAATCCAGAGGATTGATGATCTCTGGATTACAAACTAGACAGACAAGCTACAAAAGATGGCTCTGTGTGATTCATTAGACCTCTTTAAAAAAAAAAAAAAAAGACAATGCCGTGATTTGCACCCAAACACTCCTCAACTGACTGGCTGCTATTTCATCTCTTATCTTTTAAGATCCAAACTCTCGGATCATTTTTATGATAAGTGCATTTGGATCTTCTCTGGGTCCTTGGGATGACAGGGTTGGTCGCTCCATCTTAGCCATTCTCAAGAAGGCAAGGAGAAAAGTAAAGGGTGCAGAAATAATTTCCCTGGCAGGAGGGTGTATAATACAGGTAGTCCTTGACTTATGACCACAATTGAGCTCAACTTTTCTGTTGCTAAGCGAGACAGCTGTTAAGTGAGTTCTGACCCAACTTACAACTTTTCTTGCCTCAGTTGTTAAGTGAATCAGTGTGGTTCTTAAGTTAGTAACATGGTTGTTAAGCGAATCGGGCTTCCCTGTTGACTTTGCTCGGCAGAAGGTCGCAAAAGGGGATCACATGACCCCAGGACGCCCCAACTGTCATAAAGATGAACCAATTGCCAAGTGTTCAAATTTTGGTCACGTCACCCTGGGGATGCTGCAACGGTCGTAAGTGTGAAAAACGGTCATAAACCACTTTTTTCAGTGCCGTTGTAACTTTGAACAATCACGAAACCAACTGTTGTAAGTCGAGGACTACCTGTAGTAGAATTTTTCAGGCCTGTCAGGGTTTCTTTCTAAGGGATCCTACACCAAACAAACAGAAGGCAGGCTTATTTTGAATTTATTTTTTCCTCCTGCTTTGTTCTTTTCCAGCATCGAGAAATCTATTTTGAATCTCCTACTCCCTTAATACTCCATTTATCTCTTTCCCATTTGTTTCCTCTCGCCATCACACCCACACATTCCCTGGGCAAATGAAAACCAGGTCCTGGGTCTAATCAGTGCTAGTCTTTACACCTTATGGCGAGGCTCTCCTCTGTTGTGAGTTATAATGACTCCGTTGATTAAATTGGGAGAGGGCCAAGCCTTGTAATGGTCTTTATCCCCTGGGCTTATTGGTCTTCCTGCCTCTTTGCTGGGCTGGTTATGAAAACTCATCCCACACAGTTCTCCATTATATTATATGCAAACACAGCCAATAGATTCATCACCACGTTAAGCCATAAGGTGGCTTATAGAATTTAATGCTGGGTGAAGCCACATCCTGCCTCTAATTCCATGAATGATTGCTACTGGATCACCTTATGCTAAACCAGGGTTCGTAGCTGCTTTGCACTAAAAGGGCTATTTCAACTCAAACCAACCATATTGGGACATAAGATCCTGATGAAAAATATCGCGGAAAGCCGCGTGGTTGCGAGCACTCCCTCTCAACAATAACAAAGGATTGGAAACTTGGTGGTTTGATTTTTGGGGGGGGGAATGCAAGGGTACGTTATCTCTTTTGACTTCCATCAAGAATGGGTTTCTCTGAAGTATGTACAGCATAAGTGAAAGAAAATAGAGGCAATATTATATATTAATTTACCAATTTACTAGCTGATACCAGCCAGAGCATAGAACAACTCAAAGAAGTAGTGGAAGGTCGGAAGATGTGGAGAGACCTGGTCCGTAGAATTGCCAAGAGTCGGACACAAGTGAATGGATAACATCACCATCACCCCAGTATTTTTCCAACTTCAGCCATCCAAAAATTCTACTTCTGGAACCTTCTTTGATTCCACCTCTCTGCATTTAGCCTGATTTGCAAAATAATCATGAGCACTAGGACAGCCTACTAATAATGCTAGAGTTATGTTTTCCTTGGCGTGCACGATTTATTTCTTTGGAACCGATTCCTACCTTGCAGGTACAACTTAGATCCTTTTCTTAACCACACCGACGATCAAATCTGGCAAGTTCTGAACCAAACGTTTATGAGGAACAAGGTACGTTTATGTTTTTGACACTGTGCATTATGATTTGCTGGTTGTAAAAAAAAAAGACAGCACGTGGAATGAATAGATCAATAGATCGTTAGATCGAGATCAGGATAATATCAATAGATATAAAGATGGATGGAGAGACAATAATAGAGACAGAAAGAGAGAGAGAGATCTATATAGATACAAATACAGGTATTTCTGAATCTGTATAATTATATATCTATAGATATAGATTGATAAATATATAAATATACAGATAAAGATAGATAGAT